GTATAAAGTCCCCGCCCTACACGTGGCATAAAAAATGCAGATTCCGAAAAAAAGAAAAAAGAGAAAAACAGTAATTAAGAGATGATCTGGGTAATACAAGCCGTTCCCTAAGTTCGTCCTGGCCGTTGTGGACGTGACACGTGGCAAACAGGTACCAAGAGGAGCTGGATCGAAATGTCATGGACCGATAACTGCACCAGGACGAGAAGCAGAAGCACGATCAGCAGCAGGGCCAGGATCAGAACCACGAGCACGACCAGGTCCAGGACAAGGATCTAATTCTGAACCAGGATCAGGAGTAAGACCGGGGGCGGCAGCAATCGCACTGCAATCAGGACGAAGGTCAGAAGCAGGGGGAGGAGGAGAAGCAGGATCAAGTCCAGAAGCAGGAGGTGGAGGAGGTGGAGGAGGAGGAGGAGGAGGAGAATCAGGACCGAAATCGGAAGTAGAACTAGGAATCGGACTGCAATCAGGACCAGAACCACGACCAGGACCAAGACCAGAACCAGGACCACGTGGAGGAGAGGGACCACGATTATCAGGATCGGGATCCAGACCTGGTCCAGGACCAGGACGCGTAAGATCGGGACCAGGATCCGGACCAGGACTACGGGTAGGAGGAGGAGCTGATCAGTCACTCAGGAGCACGCCGACGGAGACACAGCGAGTAACCATCGCCAGCTCTGCTGCCACGGCTGCGACCGTCACAGCAGCAGCAGGTACGAGCGCTGTAACAGTTGTCATTCCTTTTTTGGAAAGGCTGCGTCTGGATCGGGATCCGACTCGGCTATGGCGGCTTTGGAGATGGAGCAGAACGTGGACGGTCCTGATGTCCCGACGGCTTCTGAGATCCGTCGAGCGCAGCCAAGGTAGCAGCATCCTGTTGCTCAACGTGCTGGCGGCCATCTACGGCTCAGACGCGGCCATGAGCAAGGACATGGTCGACAGTGTGGCGTTGACGTCAACAGCGGCTGCGGCCGCGGCTAGTAGCAGTTCGCCGCCGGACAGCTTGACTCAGTCGGTGGCGTTGACGTCAACGGCAATCCTCTTCGCGTCGGTCACCAGACGAGCTGTGACGGCGGGCGGCGGACGATCAGCGCCGCTCGTGAAAAGCGCTGCTGAGCTAGCAGTCATATCGTTTGCCACCATTCTTCTGGACTCCGACGTCGGCGTCCCAATCCCGACCACAATGATCGGCGACACGCACGCGTATCGCTCCGCGGCACTCCTTTTCCTCTTCACGGTAGGTGGCTTGCTTGCTTGCTTGATTGCTTGATTGATTGGTTGATTGGTTAATTGGTTGGTGATCAGACATTGCCTGTGGTACCCCAAGAAGGGATAGTCTACGTGTGGGATTGGGATTGCGTGTTGAAATGGCACGGTGTATTAAAAAAAAAAAAAAAAAAAAAAAAGGCACGGTGTGTTATCGTATGACCCAGTGTGTTGAAATGCGTTCCATTGAAAAAAAAAAAAAAAAAAAAAAAAAAAAAAAAAAAAAAGCGTTCCAATTTGCGATTCTTGGTCGCTTTTGCAGGTTTGACACAGTCAATCAAATTGAGATAACTGGATATCGTCTTCACTGCTGCCATTGACTCCTTCCTATATTCCTTCTCTGTCTGCCTTTGACTTCAAGTTGGGGACTTGGGCTTCAGTGCTCGCAATAATTGCGTCTTATTTCTTTTTTTCTTCAAATTTTTCTTCATTTTGAACAGGCAATCTTCGTGCCCATCATGGACATTACGTCCGGACGTGCCGTCAGCAAAGTTACATGGGTAGCAACCCTCTCTGCTCTGACAGGTCAGTCTTGTCCCGCCACCTCTCTTTGCTTTCCTGCATGCCAACCGTCTCTCTCTCTCTCTCTCTCTCTCTCTCTCTCTCTCTCTCTCTCTCTCTCTCTCTCTCTCTCTCTCTCTCTCTCTCTCTCGTCGTTGTGTCTGTCAGCAAAGGTACATTCGGACTGATCCAACCTTTTGAATGCACCTGGATCATTTCCAGATCCAGGTGCATTTTTAAATGTTGTGCAGTGGAGCGCGGCCGTACAAGAAAGCTGCGTACTTGAATCCTCAGCACTATCTCGTCGGGATAGATTTGTACATACACATAATTGGTGTATCTACGTAAGTATGGGCCTGGCCCCGCACTACTCACCAGATGCACAAAAGAACAAAAACGATGGTGGTCCATCTTTCCATGTTGTAGCGCAAGATTCATTCTCATTATATACATTTGGTGAGTAGTGCGGCGAGGCCATATGTGATGGAAATTGTCTGCGCGAATAAATCCATCGGAATGATTCACAGGGCCTTCCGACGCCGACGGGACTTTTGAGAGCTGGTCAATGGACACCCAAAATTTTCAGCGTTTTTTTTTCCCAAAGCTATTTATAAGAAAACCCGAAGGCGTTTTTTAACAATACTTGGCAGCAGTCCATAGAGTGGACTCNGGTCTATTCGTCACTACAGGAGCGTCAGTTCTGTGAACACTAAGAGACTGACGATTATTGGCACCCTGCACAGAATGGTGGCAAACACATATGACACAAAAGATTTACCGGCAGTTATGGAACTATATTGCACGGAGCTAAAACTGATGGAATACCCTTGGGAGGTACCGCGATCGGCGATACTAGCCTTCATCAGGAATTGTAAAGACAGCGAAGTACGGAAAGCATTCCTGGAATTTCTCGCAGCACAGGAAACAAAGGAAATGGAAACAAAAGAAAAGAAAACAAAGAGAGCAAAAGAAAAACAGCGGGAGTAAAATCAGAATGAAACCCTGAAAGATAAGTTCCAAAGTGAAAAATGTCGCGCGAAAGAAACACAGATATAACCTACACAACAAGACCGTACGAATTTCGGACAAGCAATTTCAAAAACACTATGGAAGAAGAAAAGGAAATGGAAAGGATATGGAATGAAAGTTGAACCATCATCGAACAAACAGGAGAGACGTCCACCATACCATAATATTTCACGAGAAACAAACAGACCCGGATCACTATGGAGAAAAGGGCCCCGAGTAAAAACGAGCTATATAACTCACCTGGAGCTCCAAGAAGTTGAAGAAGAAGAAAAATAAATAGAAAAATCCAGAATTCCGAAACTCCATAAGAAAAATAAATAAAAAAATCCAGAATTCCGAAACTCCATAATTCCATAATTCCACAAACCAGGCGAAAATGCACACGGAGAAATGCATGTGAGCGTGTGTTCATGAAATATTCAACCGGGATAAAAAGAGAGTGGATATAACGCAAAAATATTTTCCGTGAACAAACGAATACGGACGGCGGAGCATACCATCGTAACAGAATACGGTCGAACACTGAAGCTAGGTACGGAAGAGAAATGTAAGAAGGTTATATGTAACAAGGACTTCCGCGACGACAGCAGCAACCACTTGTATCAAGGGCAGCGACGGAGATGTGATGATGAAGAGGAGACCTGCAGGGATAGTGGAAAGAGGAGAGGAAGTATTCGGACCCGGAGGGTATAAATATGTCCATAATGGCTGTGATGATTACCTGAGCAGTGAGGTAGAAGGGTAATCGCGTCTGGTTTAGTCGCATGCCATGGACAGGACGTGTTTGCTGTGATAGTAAAACCTCGCACGTGTTGTCCACATATTGCAAGTGTGTCTCTCTCTCTCTCTCTCTCTCTCTCTCTCTCTCTCTCTCTCTCTCTCTCTCTCTCTCTCTCT